GGCTCCGAGGGCGACACGGTGGCGATGCCGGGGAAGAGGGACGTTCCGGATACGAAATCGGAGGCTGACACCGCTGACTGCGCAGAGTTCGACTACGGCAACCTCCTGCTGGCCTTTCATCCGGACTTCGCGGACAATGACCCTCCCTGCCTGCACTCTGGGGACCTGCTAAGCCTCATCTTGGGAGACGTCACATCCCTGAAGAGCTTCGATTCCCTGACGGGGTGCGGAGATGACATTGCCGAGCCCGACATCGCTGAGAGCACCATCTCTGTGGAGCGCAGCAGGGATGCTGCTAAACGGAGCTCCTGCCTGGTCACCTACCAGGGCGGCGGGGAGGAGATGGCCATACCCGAGGAGGCGGAGGAGTACCTCCACCAGATATGGAACAGCAACACGGCAGGGGACAGGAGCTACGGAGCCCAGGTGTCGAGCAGCAGTTTGGAGACCCATGCCTCACATGAGGCGGAAGCCCACCCCTACATGGGGGACGCGATGGATGGCGTTGACCTCCTGACGCCGCAGAGTGACCAGCAAGAGTCCGCCCCTAATAGCGACGAGGGTTATTACGATTCCACCACGCCGGGGCCAGAGGATGAAGGCGGAGACGGGCTCGGTGAGATCAAGAAGGACCGTCTCCCCAGAGACAGTTACAGCGGTGATGCACTTTATGAGTTTTACGAGCCTGACGACGCGCTGATGAGTCCCTCCCACGGGGAGGAATCCCTGTTTGAGAGCAAAGTCTCACGCCCGGGGATCTTCAGCTACTTCTTGGACATCTGCCCCCCTGCTGAGAAGAGCCTGAACCAAATGATGGATCAGAAAAGAGGGGTGATGGAAACGGAAGAAGAGCGGCTAGCGGCCATTCAGAAGGAGCTGCTGTACTGGGAGCTGCAGAGGGATCCGGTCTTGAAACGACTTGATGTTCCCAGCAAGGAGAAGTGTCCCCGGGAAAAGCAGTGCATTGAATGTAAAACTAGAGCAGCCGGCTCGATGGGCAAGAATCAGGGTGGCCTTGGTAGTGAGCAGGTGGCCTCGCACGCCCCAAACAGGGCTGTGAATAGCGGGGTTTCGGTGGCTAGAGCTGAAAATCCAGAGTGGAGGGATTTTCCAGGGACTCTGTGTCCTGAAAACTGTTACAACAGCCAAAAAGCCCAAGGAAATTGCCTTATTCAGCTCACGAAGAACAACCCGGGGTTCGATTCAGACCCGGATTGTGGGTTGTTTGGGGGCTCCATCCACAGTGGCGTAGCCGCAGCCAAAGCGGGGATGTTCCCCGGCTACAGACTCCCGGAGCACGAGCGTGGCGGCGGAGCGGAGACCACCACCGGCAAGCCCCAGGTGGGCGGCGAACGCGAGCCCGAGCACGCTGTCAGCTTCTCACAAGCGCTAGTGGAGTTCGCCAGCAGCGGGACCCTCTTCTCCAGCCTCTCCGAAAGTCTGGGAAGCTCCAACTCCGGCTCTTCCTTCACCCAGAACCTCCCTGCCCTCCCTACCATGGTCACCTTCGACGTCGTCGACGTGGAGCAGGAAGGAGAAGGGGAGTGCGAGCAGCATCCCGAGATGAACGCCGGCGAGGACATCGCCGAGGCCTTTGACGACGGCTACGGACGGAAGGAGTCGTTGGCCGAATGTGACGAGAGAATGTCC